CAAATGTTAGACGAAGATAGTTGTCTCGTGGGTATCCATTGCATATTATTTGCTGGGATAACTGTGTCCAACGTTTTAGGTCCTTAGATCTTGTCTTTAACTAGACTGAGAAACGTAGGGAACAATAAAAACACCAAAGTGTTTGCAATGTTGCCACAGTGGCGAAAGCTCAAAGTCCAGGGGGTATCTGCAAATCGCCCCATGTTAAAATGTTCGCAATGTCGACTGCTTTGTTGGCTGCTGCGCATAGAACTTATTCTCCGGATATGGCTACTGCTGTCTCCCCAGCTATTGCTGCTGCTTCAGCTGCTGTTACGACATCTTCCGCCGCTGCTGCCGATTCTGCTGTTGCGCATAAATGGAAGCAGCGATCGGTCGCGTCCCCAATTTTAAGTGGTATCGTTTGCTGCGGCCAAAACTGTTCTCATGTGGCCCCGATGTTTGGCATGCAGGTTTGCGATCTTAAACCAATACGTGGAGGTAGGATGGTTATCCGCTTCACTCCTGTTAACGGGAAGTCGAAGGTTGTGACCAATGCGAAGTTCGCGGAAGTCAGGAACGAAGATTATTGTGCAGTTGAGCCTTCAAAATTGAAGCCCGTTGAAGTTTATGAGGTAATCGTATAAAATGAAGTTTAAGGCCCGCTACCCGTGAGAAAGTCGGCAGAAGCACCCCTCTCATCACGAAACCCTGGAAAGGTGCTTATAAGTGTCCTAAAATGGTGTTTTAAAGCTAAAAATGTGCGCCTAAATGATGGCGGGGTCTTCGCTGTTTGGATGTTATTCGTAGTGGGTTGCTATAAGGATGCACTGAATAGTTTCACTACCTATACCTTGGCTATATTGTCCGAGGGTATTGGGTATATGGGTATTGTAGACACTTTGATCGAGATGGCTATACGTATGGTCTGTGTATGAAGGCCGCGCATTGCATGAATTAGGAGTTCATTGGACTTCTTTCCTTGCATAATGTCCACCGCCTGACTTTTTATAAAGGAAAGGTTTCGCGGGCAGCTGTTTTATGATAGCATTGAATACCTTACTGGGAATACCTTTCTAAGATGCCGCTTGGAATTTTGAGTGTTAATCTTTGGATAAGCATATAATATACAGCTTGTATGTTACTGGCTTGCTCCTTCAGGTAAGGAGCCATCCTTCGTCTTACTGGCACTTTAGAAAACTTTTGATCTGAGCCTGTGTGATAGGCAGCTTGGTTCTCGTAAGGCCTGTGCGCAAATCTGTAGCAATAACTGAAACTGAATTTATGCCACTCATGTTTATTGGCTTTAAAAGTGTATATAACTAACTTAGCTGAAACAGTGTACTTGCCAAGCTAGGGGAGATAGATGGCTTGAAAATCAACCTTAGCGGAAGCTATGTCTCGCAGAGGGGCGCTTGTGCTATTGGCACAAACGGCGTCGTCTATAGAAATTTGGTTAGAGATTGTACGCAGGAATCCATCTGTAGACCATTCATTTGGAATCTTCTAATGAGTCATTAATAAGACAACTAGAAAGCATGTACATAGAGCAAGAAAACATACTCTGCATGTGCTGAGCTCCAGAAATAAATCAAGACCGCAGCTAGGTGCGAGATGGGGAAGATTACTGTATGGGGACGTGATTAAGCCACTAAAAGGTAACCTTTAGTTCGGTAGCCTTCCATGGAGTAAGGGAGGGTTAGTAAGACCAATTTTAAGTTGTAACGAGAACATAAAAAAAAAATAATGAAAAAACGAGAACTGATGTAAAGGTTCGTCTGCTATGTAGAATTTATTTGTCTGTTACTTATCCAATTTCCACTTACTTGTAGTCCTTTGTAACATGTTTTATCAGCATTGAGTGCAACACCCACTCTTTAAGTCCGTCCTGTTGACATGTCTCTACCTGCAACCACTCCATTGTAGTCTTTAGTCATTTCAGTAAGATCAACAGATAGAACTTTCAATTTATATTTTTCCTTAACTTTAAGGATATAAAAGGAGATAATGATATATACGTAAAACAATACTCACCTGCTTGAACACAATGAATATGGATTGGCTGACGTCCACGGTACAATATGAATAATGTCCTGTGTGAATTAACATAATATATAAATATTTTTTTTGTGTATGTATACAATTCATTTTCGTTAGCTTAAGTTTAACACGTGCGCTATTTTCTTAAGCATTTAATGTTTTGGTTTGGCGAAATCATTTGTATACTTTTTTTTTGCTGTTATTTTTCTTTACTTCTAGAAATACATGTACATCATTATTATTTTTAGAACATATGTTTTTATTCTAAATTCACATTTAGTTCTTTATATATCTGTGTGCGCCTGTATGTGTTCTCATCTGTTCTTTGCCATCGTATGGATGTCGGCATCATTCATTTTTCTTTCTTTATTTAGGGAAAAGTTACACGGAGGCCAGAGGCCTTTCCTTTTTCTGGTTTGGTAGTATAGTGAATATCCGTTTCCGCGTTTCTTTGAATTACTATTGTTTTTTAGCCTGTTTGGAGTATTGATTATCTATCAAAATGTCGTTTTTCCGATTAAATAAAAGAGTTAGAGAAGAGGGTGTGCAGTATGTAAAATTCTTGTATTTTCTACAGCTCCATCTGCAGATACTAACCTGTACCGAGTGTCAAGTAATATGGAGTCCAAAGACTAATTATTTCTTCGGTCTATTGCGGGAGTTTTGTCGTGGATGTGGTTTACGAATAGTTGTAGATTGAGTATACTTACATGCTCGTGTGTCTGATCTTTAGAAATATACTTACATATACATACTTTGTACGATAGAATTCTGTCTAGGCGAAGGGGCGGGGAGTGCTCATACACATTACTCCACCTTGGTACTTCTCGACAAATCATCCTCCGGTCGTAAAGTGTACGATTTCAGGCTCTCTTTGTCATTAACCATAGTGAAGTTAAAACTTCGCGTCAGTGTTGCGACACAAACCACTTATCCATCTAAAGCGCATAATATTTTAACGTATTCGCACGGAGCAAATAATTATAATTTACTACAGCCACATGCAGTGAACAAAGAAAATGGACCACACACTTTGACAACTGATTTCACACCTCAACACTTGACAGCTTGTTTCAGTTTACTTATTTATTAAATAACTAAAAAGCCACAAATGCATTACATACTTACATAGATACATGTCATTTGCAATAAAAAAGTATAAGATAAGTGAGCATGCAAGTCAGATAGATGGCTGGTAATGTGATCATCTTGCTCTATAAACACCGCAATCATTAATTCCTATCAGCAACAAAGAACATTGTGAGCTTAACAGTGCGGTAAACCTTCCTCTAAAGTTATTCAAAAAAGCTTCGAAAGATTTCAGGAAGGATTTTAGTTGAGTGTGCGATAAAAGGTTGGGCCAAGACTGCATGGAATTTAGAAGATCAATTATATTTATCTTGTATTTTTATATTGAGGCAATTTATTTTTATATTGAAGCAGAAATACCCAGCTGATCATCCACGGCTTAACAATTGCTAAAGACTCTTTATCGAAAGAATTCAAATTATTTCCACTATCTCTATAAAGCGCAAAGATGTCATCTGCATACGTGAAAAAGCACAGCCTTTATTGACTAAATCCCCTAGGCCATTTACGAAGAGACTAAATAATAGGAGGCCGGGAATATATGGTACGGTTGCGGTACACCAGACATGGTTTCTTTTTTTATTATTGTTATTATTTATAGGAACAAACTGGTTACGATCCAAAATATACGACCACATAAGCTTATCGGCACTTTGCAAAAAGTTAAATTTATCATAGAATTAGCTAATAAGCTTAAAGTATTGGACTCTGTTACATGCTTTTGTTAGATCGAGCGCAATAAGAACACAGCTCATATCAACATTGCTGTTATCCCTAATGGATTCCACGACGGAGATTAATAGTTTTAAAACGAAAAGTCCAGGTCGAAAGCCGTACTAGATACCATGCAGGACATTGTTATTACGAATGAAGTTGTTTATTCATGATATGCTCCATAACTTTGGAGAGGTAGAGTAGGATGCCAATCGGTCGAACATTATTATGTGTAAAGGAGGAGCCCTGCTTAGGTATTGGTCGAGCTATTTTACACTCCTTGGGAAGTTTGGAAGTCATTAACACCGTACTCACTACCTGTAATAAATAGTATAAAATCACAATTACGTTAATATTGGCCTTATTCAAGTTTGTATAATAGACTCTATGTCCAATTCTGATTACGCTGACATAAAGTGATAATGAGATTAATGCGCGGTGCGAGAGCCAGAGGGCAACATCTGGACAATATTGTACAGAAGTGAGATTCTCACCTATGCGAAAATCATCTATAACTGAAGTGGATTATTGCTGAATACTAAAATGAGTTGGTAAATAGTTATGCCTGCCGCAGAGATCATTTCTGAAGCACATGGGTCGTAAGTTAAAGTGCTTATTCGATTTCACACAATGGACTGTCTTCTTTTGTTGTTGTACACAGTGGGTGTCCGCTATGTAAAGTAAATGTCAAAACTACTTGCTCGAGGTTTTGCCGTATAGGCCATTTTACTTTGGAGTTTGGACAATCATAAAAGAAAACAGCAGAAAAAAGCGGACACGTCCTAATTACACACAACATGACGTTTCCATCGGCCTATTTTTTTTAAATGTAGCGATCTTCTATGCGCTTCATTGCAGTTTGTACGGAATGATTTTAAAAAATATAATGTATAAGTTCTTCCATTCATGGATGTGTGATCTCATTTACAACTTCCCATATTCAGCTTTCTTTGATTCAAAGAAGAAAATAATTATTTTCTTTTTTTGCTAATCCACTGTTAAGGTAGATTACCATATTTATTCTGATTTAAAAGTATTGATTTTAAAAAAAAAGTGCGTATCATTAATGTTGATTACATGGTGATGAGAGTATTGTTGGAACATACTATTGATTAACAATAACGCGGTTTCAGGTTTCGTCTTCATCCTGTGTTGGCTATTTTCGTTGTAGTTTTGAGTGACATCACAATATAGCTGTGTTGGGTGACGATATAGTTATGTTGGTAGAGTGGAGGCCACAAGAAGTTTAAAACGGTTGAAGCGATAGTAGGTGTTGTGTGCGGTTTCATGTTTGTTTCTTCTTGAAGGATCAAAATGTCTTCCTTGCCTTCAATATGGTAGTCTTCTAGTTTCTGCAGACTGGTTGTTTCTATGATGGTCTTTGATTTTATTTGTACATATGTTACTGGAATATTCATATCGTGATACAAAATTGATAATTCTTTTAAGATATTAGTAAAGCGTTGGTATTCTAATCTTAAATATTATATTAGAGTTTTTATAATAGACTTGTAAGATATTAAGCTACCAACTGTGAAAGAATCGTAAATTAGTTGTATCTTGCATTGATGCAGTATGAGTGTTGATATGATGTTAAGTACAATTCTATTTTTTCTTGCTACTTATTAATATGGAAAGTTAAATTTTTGAATCTTTAGAACATTTGATTGTTTAAGTTATTTTATTTTGCAATATTGACTTTATATCTTTTTAAGTTTTCTATTTGATTATTTAGATTTAACCACCTTTATCATCCATATTTGCCGTTGTAAATTTTATTGCAGTTTCCAGCCCATTTATCAGTCCGCCCTTTGCTCTTTTGTTAGGAGTGAAAGTAGCTAGTTTGTTTTGCAGTTTGTTATGTTTAAGATTTGTAATTTAAAGTCTGTCGGAGTTCCTCCTTTTTGAAACATCGTCAGTACGTATGAAATCGTCTTAATATGTGCATTGAATTATTTTAAATTTACTATGTGTACATGATTACTAAATTTATTAATTATTCATGTCGGTCCATGATGTAACTGAATTATACTCTGGTTGTTTTGATGGGTTGAATTTGAGGTACTTGAGTGAAGACCAGCGGAGTGAAAACCTAGGAAGAGATATTTAACGTTTTTCTTTTACTTTTATTTATTGCTTTGGGAATCTTTAAATTTTTTGTGGTAATTACAGTTAATTTATTGTTGTGTTTTATACTTTATGTTTTGAAAATCTTAGTGTGATTTTGTTTCGCCTATATTCTATTCTATCGACATTCTCGATAATCTCAAAATTTTAAGTTATATATTCTATTGTATATATTTATATATTTAAATAATATTTAGATTTAATTTGTTTATTCCGTTGTTAACTGCATTTTCGAACTTGTCCTTGATGGTGGGACATAGGTCTTCTCGAAATTCGTTAATTTTTTTATGTAATCGTGTGAATTGTTAAATGTTATATCGTTGTCGAATTTATGAGTTCGTCCGTGAAAAATCTCGTATGGTGTTAACTTGGTCGTGGAATGAATAGCAATGTTATATATAACTAGTGCATCGGCCAAAATTTCTTCACGATGTTTTTCTAATCTGAATTATTTTCGTTTTGCATTATAATTCTATAGGTTTCAGTAAAACTGTGATGAAGTCTCTTGACTGATCCATTGGTACTGGTCTGTTGGAATGAGGTAATATTTAGGTTTATACAGTATTGTCTACAGAAATCTTAGAACATGTTACTTTTGAAACTTAATCGCATATTATCGTTCTAGGAAAGTCTTGCCTAAAAAATGTTTCCAAAGATTTTGTAACAGAATTTTGAAAATTTATCAAGTATCGTAAGCACTTAGTTGTGATTTACACCGTATAAATGAATGTGGAGTATGTCACTTGATTTTTAAGGTGTTTCTGGCTTCTCATAGTTTAATTTGGTCGGTTTCTGTACTTCATCACTTAACACTTTTTGCAGTTGTTAATTGTAAGGTATCAATATTTTATATAAAAGTTTATTTTATATGTAATCTTAAGAATTTGTGTTTTTTTGATTTCATTATAAGTTTTGTTATTAAATTAATTTACGTTTTTTGAGTTAGTTAAAACCTCAATAAAGAAACCAACCAATGTTAACAAATAAAAATGAATTTATCTTATGTTACAACGTGGTATAAATGACGATCCTGCCCAAAAGATATAAACGGTTCACGCCCTCAGTTTTAAGCAAAAAGCCAATGCAATTTAAATATAAATAAAAAACTCTCCATTAAAAACCTTTAAAAACAAGTGACGTCCACAACAATTAAAAAAAAAGTACAAATATGCTATATAAGTATTACACAAAGCCCATACAAAATTGTGTAACAGCCGTCAATATGATTTAAAACTTTCATCAATCAGTAAAACTTGAATAATAACAAAAATAGCTAAATTGCTTAGCAACTGGTTTTGACAATAATTTTAATGGGTGAAATACTAAGCATAAAATTTCAAAACTAAAAATTTTGAACGCCAATTAAAAGAATTAATAAATAGAAAATGGAAGAAAACTCTGTCAAAAAATGAGAATGATTGAACATTGGACACCAAAATTCAATTTCTTTTTTGTTTTACAGATTGATAGATCCTTAAGAATAATAATGCGCCGTTGTCAAATATGGAGTATGAAGAAAAATATTAAACAAAAAAGAATAGTGGATAGGTGCTTTCTTTCAATGTTGTCAATTTTTTCGCTTGAGAAAGGAATTTCTTGTGAAAAATTGGTACATTGTATATTAATCGAAATATTTTCCATAATTTTCTACATTTTATCACATTTCTGGCAACACGGCGATATCGTGTGGAGTGGCCTTATATTGGGTTGGCATCGATCCAACTACCAACCCATTTTCGCAATTTTTCAACTCCGCGCAACCGTATACCGGCCAAGCCATGCCGCATCGGTCTGAAGTTGTAATGTACGGTGAGTACGCTGAGTGTGGCAGCATATGATTTCCATTCGAGCTGCCACAGTGTTTCTCTGAACAGTATGGTTAACATAACTGAATGGAAATTCAAAAGTAAATAATTTCGTTATTCAGTGCATGCAAATAGCAAAAAATGTTTCAAATATCTTGAAACACGAAAAAGAAATCCGATAAAGTACAGGAAGTACAGGAAATGAAGCAATAAAGGCGAACGCGGTCGATAATGACTCAATCGAAAGTATTAACTAATACCAGAATATCAGAAACAAAACAACTAAACCAAGGAAAAATATTTAAAACATTTTTTTTATTGGTTTGGAAAAAAATTTTTTTTCTTATGTGTCAACTTTTGAATTTTTTCTTCATTTTTCTTAATTCTCATATATTGTTATTTACTTCTATCTAATCATAACAATCATATATATATATATCATATATATATATATAGATATCATATATATATATATATAGATATCATATATATATATATAATATATATATAAAATAATGTATGTATATATATGTATATATATATATTTATTATATTTATATACATATTCTTATGTGTGTATATACACGTAATGTGTATATAGATATTGTTATATGCATTTATATTGTTTTTATTGACTGATAGATGGCGAATAGATTATAAGGTAGAACATTTGGCCTGTAATATTTGCGTATGCAAACTATTAAGTACTACTTCTAGGCACCCAACATAAACAAATGATATGAAAGACCGTAGGAGAGACTAAACGAATTGAAATTTACATTCAACGTACCGATCATTTAACTGAAATGCCCGTGAATGTCATATGCAAAATTTCATTAGCTAAATTATTTTTGATCGAAAATTAATATTTAGAATTACAATTATTAAACAAATGTCCCTAATTGAAGAACCCGATTACATGACCAAAACCGTGAAATATAAAATCTCAAAAGAAGAATCCGAATTGCTAGTGAAGGCCGATATATGTGTGTGGTTAGGAACAGTAGCATTTTTTCAAAACTAGATACAGGAAATACACATTATCAAGTGCCTATGGGTGAGGATGACATTTATAAAACAGCCGTAGTGACACCATTTGGCATGTTTGACTGCAGAACGCAGCACATAGTTTTTACATTTGCGTACATTGTCAACGTCTTGGTTGCCAGTAAATCTGAGTCAGAACATCTAACATATTTAAAACTGGTATTCGACCGGCTCAGCGAGTACGGTTTAAATGTTCAACCGCGTAAGTGCGTTTTTGGAGGAACAAATCTCGATTTTCTTGGACACAAGATCTCAAGAGAAGGTATTCTACCCTTCCAATATAAGAACCATTCTGCCATTGAGGACTTGGAAAATCCCAAATCCATTAAACAGGCACAAAAATTTGGGGGAATGATTAATTACTACTGTAGATACAAACCTAATTTAGCAGAGTATAACGGACTGATTCACAACATTATCAACTCTTGTGAGCATGTTGAAGATGCATTTGCCTCAAAGGTTTTATTAAATCATTTTAACAATGAGGCCGATCTGGTGTCCGTCTGAAACTAAATATGGCACGATCGTTAACTTTTAGCAGTATATGTTAGTACGTAGCGAAATTAACGTAGTGATAAATACTCTTTCGCGAGTATTCAAAAGTAATGCGCTGAGATGAATAGATTTAAATTTCAATATTCCCTATCGTGAACAACAGATCGGTGACGAATTTGCAACGCGAAAGGGTCTGTTAAATTCAACTATTTGTCTAAATATAGAAGTATGAACTTTATTACTTTTAGGTCCCCACGTAGGTGCCATTTTAAGAGGATTGAAGGCTATAAGAGACGGACACACATGTCATTGTGGAGCTAGCTAGTTTAAGAAGCATGGGTGCTTCCAATTTTTGTCCCACGGACACTCCACAGACGGTTACAATATTCGTATATGGCCCAACGGAAAGACCAAACCTACTTAGCGAACAGGCGCTGCACTCTGGGTCATTCTTCATCCTACTCTATCTACGGTCTCCAGCGGCATACAATTTTCAATGTCGGGTCCGTAAGCTACTCCCCTCTCATAAAAAAAAATTTAACGCGGCATTTATCAAAGAATTAAAAATATATTAATATGAATAAGAAAATTCTTATTTAAAGTCAATAACAAGAGTAAGTAAAGTAGATACATTTACATCACAATTTGTGTTACGTTATGAATACTTATTATGATGAAGCTAGAGTAATGACGACGTTGTACTAAGCGGGTAAGGGCGCTGATAATGCTCCAGAAAAGTGTAGGTACAGCTGCTAGTCATGATATTATTGAAAACTATATTGATGGATTATGTTGATACTGCTGATATGTTTGTAGCACACAAAAGTAGACGTCCTTGAATTACTTATAAATTTTAGAATCATTAGGTTGCAGGGTGATTATATAGTATGCTTTACAGTACATTAATGACCTTTACGTTCGTGAAATATTAAATTGTTAATATATTAACGTTTAAACACATACACGAATTATGTAATTTGCTTGCATGCGTTTAAGTAAAAACGTATTGTTTATATTTTTATTTATATGTATATTAACTTAATTATTTTCTTCTTCTTTCTGCAATGACTTTCTGTGAAAAAATATACTTTTACTAATAACAATATAAAAATACATTCCCTATAGCTACATAAGCATATAAATTCATAAATCTTCTTCTCCAAATTGTTCTTGCTTTAAAATAATTTATCATTTTAATTACATTTGCTTTTATTCTCAACTTCCACTCCCCTCATACTAGAGAAACAATCACAAAGTTATTCGCGATCACTTCATACCAGCAAAACCTTCGTCTTCTCCAGCCCTTCTCCCACCATCTTGGCCATCTTATTTTTCTTTCCTTAATTTTGCGTTTTCAGTCCATGCTCTTCGGGCTTCCCATAATTTTGCTAGTCGTAATTTTTGGTCGATGAACTTACTAACGCTAACCTCTGTAATCCTATAGAGTTGAGTTTGTGAAAAAACGGAACGAATGTTAGATGTTACAAGCTACGGCGTTTATTTAATAAATAAACCAACAATATGAAACTTTTCAAAGTTCCAGTACTAATCTTTAAAATTATTTGTGAAATTTCTGGAAAATTGTCGAAACCTTATGTCCTATCGGCTTTAAGAGGAA